TGCTAGCTACAGTAAATATGAGCGACTGACAGATATAAGATTAACAATAAATGTTTGCGCATCTAGGTTTCCTTATCAAGTATTTCTTTGTCTGTCATCCACATACCAATAACATTTTTTCCCGAGACAGGATGATCAGATAAAAAAGGACACGACCTATTCGGATTCTATGAAACGCTGAAAGCTGACTCTGGATGTATTGAGGCCAAACTTGTTTACATAACTGCCCTTTAACTTCGAGACTAATTCGCTGAATCATAGACTACTTAATCTTGAACTGAATTTTCGCATGATTGTCTTACAGTTTGACCTACTTGACCTCAACCGCAGTCATTTGGTGCTTTTGAGCAACTCGCACAATTCATATTATGCAGGAGTTAGAGCACCATGATTTATCACGCCAAATCTTTGACTTGACATTGATTCTAACTTTATATCCTCTTACTGTCCTTTCACGCATTAATACGCAAATGACTTACTACTAAACAATAAAACATAAATCCGGAAGACTTGGCCACTCTATGCCGGGACGAAGGTCCAAAACTAACTTATTCCGACCGAAGAGGAAGAATAAAGACTAGTGGCCAATAGTCCAAGATCTGTTACTGTATTCACACATCCCTTTATATACGCACGAAACTAGACCATAGTGCAGCCAATAAATGGAAAATAACAACTACAAAAAAAACAAGGCCTTCATATTGGATTCTCCAGTCATATTACTGAGTTTTTTTTACGTTGTAGACTTTTACTATTCTGAAATGTAAACCGGACATTATCAACATCTCGTTTCCCTATTTGTAGTCAGCAAGACACCTGAGACTAAAGAGTAGCCAAAATCATGTTACCGATCCAATCATTAACAGTACGTTTGAGATGTAGTCCTTTCTTACGTACGAGTTGTCCGGGAGCTGAAATTGACAGACAAAGCCATACTATAACTGAAATTAACGATAGGCCTTAGTATGGTGGTAGAATAGTGTGATCTTGTATGTTGATCCAGGCTCAACCTTCATAAATAAAGTAAGTAACAAAAACAAGTTGGAAAAATATGAAAGTATTGTGTTCCTTGGTTTCTCATCAGCTGCTTACAAGCGTATATAACAGGATATAACAGTGGAGCATAGAAAAGCGCAAAGTGATGGGCATTGATGACGTAGGGAATTACTGTCACAAGTGTTAGTGATAACAATAACTATATGGCGAAATAAATGAATGACGGGATGATTTAGGCTTATATAAGATAAAGATTCGTTAAATGGACATTAAGTAACAAAGTAGACACTGATTATAACTATGATGATAATTATCAAGGTAATGACAAGTGGATTACCGCCATCTTTCGTACACAAAAATCAGGTTTAGGTTTTTTAATTGTTTCATGGTAAAGTATCTGTCATCGTGTGCTTTGTTCAGCTGATTGTTGTAACCAAGGAATGTGCCGTCAACATATTATAAATACGATGTAGTTCCTTCAGTTACACGCTAAGGCTTGATCTATTCCAGGTTCCTCATAAATCAATTGGACTGAATCGGTCCCAAGTGTTGCCCAGATTTTATAAATATCATCTCGCTTATCTGTGTTATTCATTCCGTCATTGTCTCACACCCTACTTTGCTCTTCAAACTCCGTCTTCAAATGACCTTACTCTTCTTTACTATATATATAATTATTAATATCAACACTTCCAACATTATTGCTGATCACTACGACTCACATCAACCCCACCGTTGCAATTTATTTTATTTGGTTGTAAGCAGATGATGAGAAACCACGAATAATAATAAATATGCAGTGAATTTACTTCTTTGCAAAATGCTGTGATTCCCAAAACTCTTTTTGTTAAAGCTCCATCTGTTTTCAGAAAAAGGTTAGGTTATTATCAGAGATCTTTGGAGCATCAGGAGATCTGACTGGCAAGATAGGTATGGACAACACCGGAAAAGAAGATATCTTCGGAGGACAGGGGATGGAAGAAATGAAAGAAAACGGCAACAGGTTTGCAAACCTATGTGCCTTCAACAAACTGGTCATCAGCGGCACAATATTCCCACACAAGCGCATACACAAGGCTACATGGATTTCGTCGGACCACATTACTCAAAGCGAAGTCGAAAAAATATGTATCAATATAAACTTCAGAAAGAACACGGAGGATGTGAGAACCAAGAGGAGAGCTGATATAGCCTCAGATCACCACTGACTGGTCGCCAAAATGAAACTAAAGCTCAAGAAACACCGAACCACCGAACGGAATACATCAGATAGTTTGAATACGGCCACTCACCGGGTTACTGGAAAGTTTAACGAATTCAAGATAGCCCTCACCAATAGGTTCCAGGCCTTGAACTATCTACCAAACGGAGAGGAAACTACCATGAAGAACAGTTGGATAGGGACCAAAGAGGCAACATTTGAACATGTCAGGAGGTTCTGGGTCACAAGAAGTACCATCATAACGAATGGATATCTGTTGGTACTCTGGATAAGATTCGAGAAAGGAGGAACAAAAAGGCAGCAATCAATGTCAGCCGAACAAGAGCAGAGAAAGTTAAGGCACAAGCTGAATACACAGAAGCAAACAGGAAAGTTAAAGGGACAAACGAAAGTATGTGGAATATCTAGCAATGACGGCGGAAAAGGCAGCAAGGGAAGGAAACATGAGGCAGTTACACGACACAACAGAGAAGCTCTCCGGAAACTATAGTAAACCAGAACGAGCAGTGAAAAGCAAGGAAGGCAAAGTAATCAGCAACATTAAAGAACAGCAAAAGAGATGGGTAGAGCACTGTAAGGAACTCTTGAATCGACCAGCCCCACTGAACCCACTGAACATTGAGGAAGCGCACACGGACATCCCAACCGATGTCGACCCACCAACAATTGAAGACAACAGCATGGCAATCAGACAGACGAAGAGTGACGACGCAACAGGACCAGACAACACTCCTTCTGAGACAATGAAAGCAGACGTGTCAGTAAATGCAAACATACTCCACATACTTTTCGGCAAGATTCGGGATGGAAAACAAGTTCCATCAGACTGAAAAGAAGGATACCTTATCAAAATACCAAAACAGGCGATCTCAACAAGTGTGAGAACTACTGAGGCATCACTCTTCTCTCAATACCAGGCAAAATCTTCAACAGAGTGTTGTTGAACAGAATGAAGGACTTCGTAGACGCCCAACTTTGAGATCAACATGCTGGATTCCGAAAGAATCCACGTGTACCGACCAAACCGCAACATTACTGATCGTTGTGGAACAATCAATTGTATGGAACTCACTATTCTACATCAGCTTCACTGACGACGAGAATGCATTTGATGGTATAGTTAGGATGACACCATTCAGGCAGTTTAGACACTATGGAGTGCCTGGGAAGATAGTTAACATCATACGGAGGAGGATAGAACCCAACTGCGACACAAGACAAGCTCTCACCTGGAACCCTCAAGGTCAAAGAAAAAGGGGAAGGCCAAGGGAATAGAGAAAGTCAGAGCTGGACAGAACTGAAAATGGTAGCCCAGGACACAGTACGTTGAACATTACTGGTCAGCGGTCTATTCTCTGTTGGGGTAATAGGCATTATTATTTAAGTTCGGCGTATCCTCGTTCCAGTTTGTGCTGTTTTCTGTACTTCAGGAATGTAATTTTTCTCCACTGATCCAAACTTCCACCTTCTCAACACAGTTTGTAATCGAGTCATCCATACAATTTGTTATAAAGCAGTCACTGATTCATCCATTCGAGAGTAATCCATAGCCAAAGGAGGTTATGTATTTTCACACTATGCCATCAAGTCATGTCTGAGATTTCTATGCGATATTACAAATAGAAAAGTTCCATAGACTTACAGTTAACGAAAATGAGAGTTCGGTGCTCTGACGTACTGCTTCTAGTCAGAAATGTTTGCAACATATCCAGGTTAGCTTATGGATTTACGGTTATAATCAAGCCAATGCTGTATAAAGTGTGGTAAAAATGTTTATAAATTCATGAAGACCTTCATGAAACCACCTTATTCCACAGCACTATGCTTTTATAAAAAGATATTGAACAATAATTTCAGTGTACCCGGTCATGAGTAGGAACTGAGAAAAGTAGGGACTATCTCGAATTTCATTAGCTCTTTACACCATGAACCCGAAAAATCCGACAAACGTAAATAATTCCAGGCATTTCAGTTACCAACTTGACAGAAGATAGTAGAACAAGTGAAGTCCATCAACTTGTTGTGCACAGATTTTCAGGAAGAAGAAGGAACTGAAGGTAGCTGATAACAAGGAGTTTTCAGATTCATCATTTGTTCCTAAGTATGTTACGAAGGTTCTAGTGAAGACAAACCTGGAAGAGAGAGACAGCAGTCTGGAAGAAGGCCACAGCTGAGGGTTTTCAAAGGTAGAAAAAGAAAAAGACTGCAAAATGACCATGTGGAGGGAATAAATTGCTTCATATCTGATTGCAATGTAATCTGGTGACGAAGATAATGTTCAATAATACTGAAAAAGTAGGCATCAACACAGAATGTCTAGCCGTAGTTCTAGGTAGAGCCTAGTCGTACAAATTGCCTATCGAACAGCACGGTTCTTGTACAAATCATCAAGGGTGTTACGGAAAGTGACCATTTCTTATCCATAGAGAGTAAAGAGTAAGTTTCTAAATGCCGTTCTCGGAAACGTAGAAATTGGTGCATTCATGTGATAATTTAGAGCAGTTGATTCAGTCATTCATGAAAAATTGAATAGTTGTGTCTTTTAATGATATAGTTTCAGCACTCCCTTAAAAATAAGTTTCGAGAAGCGAATTTCAAGAAAATAATATATGGACTCTGCATGCACTTGAAATAGCCATTCGACTAACTGGGATTACAAATATGGAGTTAAATGACTGTAAATGGCTGATTAGTGCTATCAAACACGAAGGTTTTATTTGTTTTTCAAAAAATCTAGTGTAGTCCTCTTTCGCGCCTCAACTGAAATCATTTGGAATGCCATCTTACTTTAAATGATGCGCTAGATCAACGGGCGCGGCCTTCAAGTTATGGGTGATCGGCCTGCAGGTTGAGTCTACGAGACATGTTCTGGTGTTTAATCTATGCATTTTAATATAAATTTGTGCACTATTTTCCGAAATTTCCGTTTTGTTGTTAAATGATGTAACTTCAGTTCGCACAAGACAAATCTTTTGGTGTGATCTTCTATCCATGTAGGTCAACAGCAACAACAGCTGCCAGTGCCTGTCCGGATACCGTTATCCAGTATTCGTGCACAATCAAGGCCCCTCGGAAATATTGTTCCTGCTAACGTAAGTGAGGTTCCTCCAACCCTGGTTTTTTGTACGGGCTGTAAGATGCCACTGTTCACAGTTGGCAGTTTTCAGCGTCCCTTAGCCTCCACTTCACAATGATACTGTATGCACCTATTGGGTATGTATTGAAGGAGTAAAAAAAATTCTAGCTACTCAAATATATGTGAGCCAGTATCGCATTTGCATTTGAAACTCATGTTAGTCACTTAGCCACAGCGTTTTCAGTAATTACTTGATTCGTGTGATGTCATTTAGGATTAACTATTCTGTAAGGTCAGATTTAATCCGAGAAACTTAATGATCAACATTTATGTTCGCATGTAAATCTCAATTCCTGACATTTAGCATTTTTATTCGACAGTTTTGGAAATGCTGGGTATGATGGCCACACTTTCTAATTGAATTCTCATGCATTTAAAGACAGAAGGAATCAACCCTCAATTTTCTCTTGAAATAACATGTGTTGCAATCATCTGCATCACACTAGTGGCTCATATATAACCTAATAAATTCGCTTCATTTATGTACTTTTTCGATTTGATTGCTTCGTTCTTACCTTTACCGGATCTTAGCTGGGGTTGTCATAATTGTTTTGAGAAGAGGTAGATGGTCAGAAATAGGTTTCGATATTGTTGTAGTTTGTTATGTTTATATAGCACTTCTGAATGCGAACGTTCATTTCTTGACATTTAAACGCAAAAGTAGGGGGCTTATATCTTGTCGAGTATTATAAATATAGGAACTCAAGGTGTTATTTTACTACGAAACTCATTGAAATGTCTTCAGTTCCTGTCTCATGTTTTGCAAGCAATGGAGCTTGGTATGCCTTAACACTCTTTGGTCCTCATCATGTCTAGACTAGTTGGCTCCGAGACCAGGCATCTGATCATAAGTTATTCATTTATATGATTTCACCTTAATGCGACAACCAAGTGTTAGGGTCTTCTAGGTCCAAACATGTGAGCTTGCAAGTCACTACGTATAAGTCCGTTAAGTACTTCAATGAACAAACGACTATGAGCACCGTTCATTGCTGATCCGAAATCCGGTATGAGTACGAAAGGCCACCAAGTGCCCTGTTACGGTTGGAATTAGGGAGTGTACTTTCACATGGTCACGTGTGTATAGTCACAATCAAGGAAGTTCTCATTATATTTTCATGATGGAGTGTTGTTCATGATATTAAGTAAACAGAAAACGAATGTTTCGCGCGTAGTTAGTGTAGATGGGTACAGAAGATTCACTTACGGGAGTTGGAAAACCCGGCTTCCAAATCAGTGATACACATGGGCTCTAGGATCCTGATGGAACGAATCTTCAGTGTTATTTTAGGTTATTGGGTTTTAGAATGGTCTTATATGCTCTCTAATGGCTTCATAATATATGTAGTAGTAATGCATCTGATGTTATAGCTGTAATAACAGCAATCGAAGAAAGATCTACTTCAGTAGTGAGCGTGTTTAGTTTGTTGGATTTCAGAGGATTAGACTCATCCTATGGGCTTGAGAATCCTGATGCAATGAATGGGGTATGAACCTATTGTTAGGATTGCACATCCTTGCGTTGCTCCATTGCCTTACGGATTACTCTTCTAGGTCAAAGGCTTGGAGAGTGACCTTCTAGAGAAATCAATTCGGCTTGAGAACCCGGGTATTATCCTAACCCAAATATCAATTCAATAGTTAGTTTGGCGCTTAAATATTTAGCTGCTTTGTACTAATAATTGCGTTTGAATAAATTTCGATAGGACTGTATTGCTATCCTTAGTTGCGTCGTGATCGCAGAGCATATTCAACCTGGATGATATCGAGTGACAATTTTACCTGCTGTACAGTGAATACCTGTAACCTAAGGATTTAGTTTTTCTTCTAAAGCTCAAATAGGCAGAATGATATTTTATAAACCCTTTTGGAATGATATTGGATTACTAATAATCATTAAACCTTGACCACAAGGATCTTTAGACTGAGATTCTATTGATAAAAAACTGATAATCTTGTTTGGGATTAAGGTACCGACCAACTATAAATAATGTGAAAAGACAAAAAGTACATTTTCAGCTATAAATCTCCAGCGTTATTTCAGAATGCTTTTACATGTTCTCTTATGTCGTATAGCATCTGATGTTATAGTCGTAATCGAAGAATATCTGCTTTAATCAAATCAAAGTGAGGATTAATCAATGTGGATATAATAAAGTTCGTAACTGTTCTTCAGCACTAGGTGTCAAACGCATCCAGTTGTAAGTAGTTGGTACGTAAAAGTGCAACTAGGCATTCAACAAGATTTCAGCAGTCTCTTTAGTCATCAGGGCTAGTTATACTTCAGTAATATTTAAATTATGTTTTTCATCGTAGCACGGGGATTAAGTAACATTTTACCACTGACATGTATTTGATATTACTAGATAATACCAAAGGTCAAACTTTTGGTTTCAACTAGCATGGGCTTTATGATTTGAAAACATGTGGTTAAAGCGTTTAATTACAGAAAAAATTGACATGACTAGCCTCGCTTATTACCAAAAACTCGCTTGTCATTTAGTAACAAAACACCCCTCATATTGTATTTTTCTGACATCACTTTTTCACCGATCTAGGCTAGGTTTATATATTTTCATGTTACTAAAGCATCCTAACCATTGTACATCACTACCCTTAACAGTAAAACCTAAGAAGCTCCAAAAACACCGATAAGCCTGTCAGCCGATTTCATCTCAATACCACTTAGGTATTGATACTTAAGTGTATCCAAATTTACACATCCTTCGTAATTGAAGTGTAGTGCAATAATTGATTGTTGACTTGGAATTAAGATAACTGAGAAACTTAAGTTATTCCTTAGAACAAGAAACAAACACTCGTGGAAAGATGTAAGTTCATTTATTGGTTTAAGTTGCTATACTACATTCCAAGCAAAATCCAGTTTAATTATTAAGATCAGATGACATGTGTACTAAATCGTTGACTAGGTGGGTTCATTGTAACCTATCTAAGTGGGTCTACTAATTTTCGATATTTAAACACTAAACTCAGCAACTAAACCCGTTTACGTGTAGTTGACTTCGGGCTACTTTTTATGTCATGGTTAGCGATAACATCTGATTGCTGAAAGTAAGTTGGTGAAATGAGTCCGGGATACAAAAGCGACTGAAGATTAGTTTTTATAACAACTAAACTCCTTGCTTTGTGTGATAGGTACAGACTGAGTTTATTGACTCGAGTGTGTTAACCTCTTTATAACTCGCTAGTGGGAAATAAGATTACTATAAGTAGCAGTCTTCACCTTTTTAGGTATCAGTGTTTTCTCTTTTAGTGATCAGATGACTTAACAAGCAATGTTGTTCTTTCTCATATCAAAATGCAGAAAAAATAGTTGTCCCATTATTTTCTCTTCAAAAATTGAATGTAAATTTAAAATATAACTACATTCATAAACAATTTCTTTCCGGTAGTACATTTTTATAAAGTTCTTACGTTTATTTGCTTTCCAAAGGTCCCTCGGCCACCCATGGTTAACCAGGTGTACTTACTTCCTAAATCTGGGATAACTAATAATGTCCTACCAAATGCTCCGAGTGTGATGCAGGTTAGGAGTTTGGCGGTTGGACAACCTGTTCTTCAACCAAATGGTGTACTTACTACCACTCCTGTTATGCCAAGTAAGCTTTCCATTTTGACCTATATATATATATATATATATATATATATATATATATATATATAAACACGTTACACTGTGGATCAACTTTACATAAGGCTGTAAAAACACTTGAAATGTTCAGCTCGTATCATACTCTTCCTCTGTCATTTACGGTAAATTATAAGCAACTCGAACTTTTTGTTAACGTAAATGTTATTTATTATGCAACTAGTGTAATTGATCAGTTTTTTCATAGAAAAAGATATTACTTGGTTGTGAAAGGCGAAATCCCCTTTCATTTCATCTTTTGAAAATCCAGAAGTATTTTACATTTCGTTCATTTTTAACCCACGTCACAAAACACATCCTAGGATTCCTCTATATTTCATTATCTTATATGGGATTTAAATTCTGGTACACTTAGGTATTAAGGAATGTATGTGCGACACACATGAAGAGATATCGCTATGGAGAAATAAAGGTGGGATGGAGAAGTATAATCCATAAAAGTGGACGAGAATAACAGTAGAAGGTACAGTTCAATAAAACCTGCAGTCAAGATGTTAAAGAACATGACGTAAAATCACGTACAGTGATGCTACTCAGTTGACCTTAAGATGTGAATCTAAAACTCAAGAGAATTTTTTAAGCTCTTATTTTTAGCTCAGGTGCGTCAAGTTCTCATCTTTTCTAACGTTTCCTGGTCAAACTATACGTATATAAGGCGCTAGTAATGCAGAAGTTTCAGGACCAAGTAATTCGTCAATTCCTCCCCCCACGTTATAGTTGGTGGTATGTGACTCCTTTTAGTCATACCATCCTCCAACTGATTACTGCGGAACATTTTAACCCCTAAGAGCAATTTATTATTACGAAGTTGATTTCTATGGACAATCGTTTTCCAATATATTCAGTTAGTTTGACGTTTTGGAAAATTTTTCGAAAGTTAATTTTAGATATTTATTTTTATAATCAGGGGTTCTCACACCTCAGTCTGGTTCCTCAACTAAATTAGTCGGATTTTTTAACCAGTTGCTAGAACTATCAAAGAATGTCTCCGTTAGCACTCATAGTTCAGTGGTAACGCTAATTCAAGCACTAGTGGTGAGTTTTTAGCTAAAGTCATTTTGATTTTATTTACAATATATGTACAATGTATTTCTTAAAAGCTGATGTTCGTGTACAGACTTCCTTAATAAACTACTACTTATGTGGTATTAGAGCTAACAATACTCTCCAAATTTCTATACTATAGTAGTTTGATTGAAACTTCTACCCATAATCTGCATGTCATTCGTTATAGTCACTTTTGAAGTTCTATGTAGTATGTATTTTTATCTTAGGAACACATTTGTATGAAAGAAATACCAAGTTCATTAGCTTTGCTAGGTATATTCAACTTTTGATAACTTTTAAAACCCGAAAATATATGTGATATGCTTTCTTTAGATGTTGACTAAGTCCAAATATTCTTTATATATTGCTATGACGAGCAAATTGTAACCCATGACGTAAAAACATTTGCACCCAGATTTCAGCTACACTAGATATAAGGTCTGATGCTACTCTCCAGTTACCTAAATCGAAGTAGGTAAACCTACAATTTACTAACTGAAAGTTAAATATTTTAAATACTGGATCACTGTGAACATAACACCTTTAATTCAGTTATTTGGGTGTTGATATTTCATTTTGAGAATGATCTATATATGATTCAGTACTCAGTCCGGTGGACGAACAATGCCACTGTTCTACTTATCGATCTTTAATTACTTTTGACTTCATATGTGTAACGAAAGTTTTTACTATTCACATTGTTTATATAGAATGGAGAACTTGATGCAAGCTCGTTCAGTGCACAGCTACGTAGTAATCTTAAAAGTGCCAATCCTGGTATGGACCTCGCTCCATTCATAAAAGACAACATAGATTTACTAAGAAGAGATCTGGCTAATGGTGTATGTCGTCTCCCAAACATACAACCTCCCCCCAAAGATGTCTTCACAGGTGTACCCACAGCAGTCCCTGTCTCAATTGTAACTACATTATCTACACTTCAGGCTCGTTCTAATGCCGCAGTTTCTACAACCCTAGTTTCTTCGACACTACCTGCTGGTCCTCGTATTACTCTTCCAACGAATACAACGTCTCGTATAGTAGGCACACTCATGTCAACAGTTTCTTCACCAGTCATTCCAACTAGTCCTGTTACTGTTCCAGCACCTCGTACACAACCTCCGCTATTGGCTCCTGCCCCTCCCCGGACGTGTATTACATCTGCCGTAAACTTTGATGCATCTCCAAGTTCTAACACCGGTGCAAAATATCGTCTAGCTCAGTCTTTTGGTGGTGTATCGTCTTCAACGTCTGTTCTATCCAGTCCAACTGCTACTACAGTGGTTTCGACACGTTTCACATCAACTGTTAACGGCACGCGTCCGAGCTACCAAAACCTGCGACCAATTATTGCTTCCTCATCCACTTCTGCAACATTGGGTATCAATCTGGCATCTATAAAATCAGTTGCTGGTGTTCCTGCATCTGTATCTCCTTTAATTCGTGCTAAGTCCGGATATGCTAATACCTATTCTTCTGGAATTCTACCCGCTGTTCAAAATAAAGTGGGTTCCAACCTCTTACCCTTGAGTGGATCTACGGTATTATTAGAAGGTGCAGACCGGAAACAGAATGATCTCCCGTTCTTGAACGAAGATATCCGTCACGCTCCTATTTCACCTACACGCGACAATCCATTTTTCCCGGCAGAAAAAGTTAAGGAGATATTAGAAGCCCATGGCATCAAAACACTAACAGAAGAATCTATCGTATGTCTTGCTCACGGTTTGCAAATATTCATCAAAAACCTGTTATCTAAGCTAAGGATTGTAGTATCACATCGTCTCGATCGTTTAGGAGAGGATTCTCGTTTGGTTCAGACGGACCACACACGTGAACAGTTGAGGTTTCTTCAGAAGTTGGATGAACATGATCGAATAAGGCAATCAGAATTAGAAAAGGATCTCATTTTAAAGGCTGCAAAAGTAAGTTTCAAAGTATATATCTTAGGAGAGCACGTTTGATAATCCTTTTCATTTTTTCTTAATTACCGAACACTGACTTGTTTTTGCAAATTTTAGGTGAATAGTGGACAAGACCCTTGTACTATTATTTTAGCGTAATTTTAGTGGTAAAATGAGTTGTGTAGAAATCTCTGTTTTGCGTTTCCTGTCCTTATTGTTTGGTTTAATGTTCACAATTTTCAAAACGCATGAAACTAATCATCAACGTTTTGCACTTTTTCGTTTATAGTCGCGTTCTCGAAATGAAGATCCTCATCAAATGCAGATGAGGGAAATGGCTCGGAGGATAGCATCTGAAGATTATGAACGTGAAAAGCAACATCAAGCTAATCTTACAGCTCTTTACGCTATTGGTCCACAACGCAAGCGTCGCCTAGATAATTTAGATGAAATGGGCAACCCCATTCCAACAGATATTTTGGGAGCCTCTCTTGGAACAAGAGATGGTGTCGCAAATTTGGTGAGCGCCCTACCTACTGCTACTGCTAATCGCCTTTCTATTGTCAGTGCCAGTCGACTAGGGTTAGTAACATCAGGATCTAGCTTACCACAACTCGGTTTAGAAGCTTCATCGGCAAATTCGAATTCCTCGGTCCCTGGTGTCAGTTTGACTGGTGATACCACGTCAAGCACATCTGGGTTTTCACTCGCACTCAGCCTCAGGGCACATCGTGCAACTCTGAGAGACATACAGGTAATACTATCCCGCACATCAAGACTTCGCCGTACACGTACGTACTACAGGACGTATTGGCGCTCTCAGCCTTAAAAATCTTTTCTTTATTTCTGATTTTTGTTTTTGCAACAATTTGATTTCTGATTGTAATATTATTTAGTTAACTTTTTAAAAATCTTTTATGTTCTCTACCTAACTTGTATTATAAAATCTTTGTACGTTATAATTGCTTTTGCAGAAGCCTACTCTGCTAGAAGTCTGGGTTTACATGTATATATATATGTATGTTTATGTACTTACTTTCGTAATATTCCTACCGCTGTATGAAATGTGATGCTAGCTTCAGATTCTTTTTCCCTATTAAATTTGAGATTTCATATATTTTTCCATACCATCTGTACATTTACCAATTTTCATGTATAATTTGTTTACTGTACATAATTTTCGATTATCGTTTCCAGAAAACAATAATCCTATATTATTTCTTTAGTATTCTACAAATTTGGTCCTTTTTTTCTAAAATTCATCATCCTCATAAAAAGTTGAAACACAACTGACAAGTAATTCATTTTATGTTCTATGCATAATTTGAATACATACAGTTAATTACTAATTAATATGCAGGAATAAAAGCATAGATGATCATTTCACTGAAAAACATAATACATAGTCGAAGATTGAGTAGAATTTATAAATGAGCAAAAAACATTGTAAAAGATTAGTTGATTATATAATATGCACTTGCATAAAAGAATTACACTCAACAATAAAAAAAAGGAAAGAAATAGCATCAGTCGTAATAACACTTCCTATATGTTTTCCAACGTGATCGTTTACATCCGAAAGTGCCCAATCAGATATATTGAATAAAACAGAGATAACGACCATGGTTAAAAAACTTCCATAACGAAATATCAGTCAGTCCGAAAATAATGGACTAGAGTGTTCAGAAAGCGCTCAGGTCTACTAAATTGAAAGCATAATTCGGAGTTCAAAAGCATTGTCCTGAAAACGTAAGAAGAGAAATGTCGAAAAATTGTAAGATGAGAGGCAATAAGATTTCGAACGTTGAAAAAGTCGTTCTCATACAAAATAATTTTCAATTAATAGTAATTAGTGTCACTGAAATTTTTTAAAAGACTCTTAGTGATAATGCGCATATTTTAATCCACTTCACCCTAATCTTCTGTACTGTATTGGGTTGTCATAAATAATATATTAAACGACATCACATTTGCGACAAATTATTTCATTGGTATACAGATCTAATAAGTAGATGTATCTTTCTGATGACGCATAGCTTTTAATCAAATCAAGTTGTGCTTGTAATATCAGTGCTAACAATGCAGTATTGCACAAAGTGAGGTTTGGATGCATTTCATCCATTTCCAGGTCTACAGAGAAAGATATAAGTGAATAACAAATAGTGATCTCTTATTGATAACTAGATAAAGTTTCGCCATTACTTAAAATTTCTAGTTGAATCAACTGTCAATATAATGAAAACATTAACATCTAAAAATATACTCAACGAGTCAAAGTTAACAATCTTCACATTTCTTTCATAACAATATAACTGTTGATGCGCTGAAAAATAGTCACTTACTGAAAAACTTCAGCATTACTGAAACAGTAGTAGGACCTATCTTGATCTTTAGTTTTCCAACTTGTCCAAAAACACTAATCGATCTGTAGCGCCTCTTTGTGGCAGATGTACAGTGGTCATTGATACAGTAAACCTAAGTATTGCTCTACTTGAATGTAAGCCTCGGAAAATCGCTTATAAGCAAATCTCGCCGTTGTACTTCAAGATAGCAGATATCACACGAGAATGAAACGTAAGATTAGTTTGCGTACAAACCTACAGGTGGCCTTTTATTTTTTGTTTTTCGTGATTAAATCTCAATTCGAATGGTTATTGATATTTTATTCTAAAAGCTATTATACACCTACCTTTAGTCGTAAATGAGTCAAACTGAAACTCTGTCACTTCCACCTGTATCCTTGCTCATGATAATTGTTTTCTCACTTGCGCGCTTCGGAATATTCATTTTGGCGCGCATTTGATTAACTGCAGGTTTCAAGTTGGATGCATTATCTGTTCCTGGTTCTCCACCGATTCGAAACACATATACGCCTTCACTATCTGGGCTTACTGTAGAACGTCTCCTAGATATTGTTTTAGGATTGCGTTCAATTGTTTGATTTAGGGAAGTTTTCAAGTTAATAGGACTTTCAGACATAACCGGAATAACGTGAGGGTAAATTGTTGCATTATCAATTTGTTTCGTTTGATATACAATCCTCAAAGGATTTGAATCCATCTTGTCTACAGATTTATATCCATTGTTTGGATGAGATTGAATGAGATCAGTCGTTTTATGAGACTTCAACAAATTTAGATTTGGACCGCCATCTCGAGTATTAATTTTAATGTCATAAGATTTTTCACTAGATTGTTGAATACTCTTAGGTTTCGGTAGAATTATGGGTTGTGAAGCAAGATCTGCACTACTTGTACTAGATGTATCTTGATTATCAAATGGACCCCATGAACTGAAACTTTTAACAAGCATCTTTGGATCAATGAAATATTCTCGTTCGTACCTATCATCTAACTCACTGCATAGTTGTTGCTTTTGTTTGCCACATAATTTAGCTAGACTGGGTGATTTTGAGAGGTGTGTAGTTTGGAATTCTTCCTTAACTGTAATCTGTTTGATTTTAGCCCAGCTAAGATGTTCGGTAGATCGAATTAAAGGTGAACTCATTGATGTTTGAATAACTGATGGGGGATTAGAAATAGATGCATCGGAATTCCAACTACTGATGCGAACACTTGATTTTTTTTTCCTAGTTATAGATATGAACTGATAATCATTTGGAGGACGGCAATGTAACGATGAGGAACGATTGAAGTGTTTTGGTGTGATTGTCTCGTAAAAACGTGGTTCATTAAGAATACTTGAAGAATCTGCATCTTTAACATCTTCAGGAGTAGCTAATGGTACTCCTTCAATTTTTGTGTATTTACAAGCATCACCGCTAAGCCAGTCTCCAGAGTCACTCTCATAAGTGCTGTTTTCATAATCTGTTGTGGCTTTGTCGAATCTATGTGGAGAATGAGTTGATAGTTCTTCATATAACACTTTGGATGGTAAGTCCACTGACTTGAGTTCTTCTGTGTTACATATCGGCCATATGAGTGCCGTAGATATGATTGGGCTTTTAATAGGTTCTACAGCTTCAGAACAATCATCCAATGCACATATAAGCGTTCGTTCTTGATTCCTTGAACCAATGAATCGTAAAGGATCAATTGTTAAAGGTTTGGGAGGTTCTAGACAGAAACGTTGTTTTGCAGCTAAGCGTGACTGATGAGATGGAGATGAAAATAGTGGAGGGATTTTAGACTGATTATTCAAATTGTCCGTGCATAAAGAAGGATCACTTATACTCGCTTCTATTGGTTTTTGTGAATCAGAATGCCCAGTGAATTTAAAATACTGGGGATTGTCTGGAGAAAGAGTAACTGGAGTTGAGTTGGAAATCCCTAAGTCTGCACCCTCAAGATTTATTTTCCGGGTAGAATCACGCGCATTTATTTCTGGTGAATAAATCTTCTGTTCGTATGATAATGGAACTTGCGATTCTGACTCACTTGACCTATATGACAAAACATGTAAAAAGTAGGTTCAACTTAACTGTATATTCTTAGAACGATTGCAAATATATTTTGTTCCGTGTTCGAAATCCTTGTATCAGATAAATGTCTTTAAATAAACATGATATTAACTGCGATCGACTAGGGTGTTGTCCATTTCATAATAATAAAATTAAAATAAAGGCTTCAGATCATGTAGTACTTGGATCTTGTGGCCTGGGATCTGACTCCAGATCGTCATCAGAGGAAGATGCACACGATATTGTTTGTTGAGAAACCGTACTAAGCATGATGACAATATTGATACTTACGATTGTAGATGACAGTCACATAAAACTGACTTGGATATAACGAACATGAGTGAATCCTTAAGAGACTAGCTCTAAACTCTATGTTCGAATTTTTAGTGAGGCGGGAATTATATTACTCACTCATCGAATAATAATATTATGGACATTTTACTCACGTTATCATATTCACAACTCGCTAGACTACTTTTTATTATTCGATAAGACAGAAAGGTTTACTGCTTAAAGTGAATTCGCTCCATTTTTTGGTTTCATTATTATATTCTCATCCACGTAGTTGAAGTTCTTCTAATAGTTATCATATCATACACGAACTCTCTTACTATATGTCTATTTTTGCCATTTTTAGTAAACCTTTTACCTAAGACCGATAGTCTTTAATATGTCTTAATCATCTAACACAGCAATGACTCTATGGGAGTAATTATTCATTGTTATTCAACTTCGTGGCTGTTATTGCACATCAGACCTTCCCGGTATACGTAACAAGTGCTTGTAGATAGAACGACGACCTGCAACTTGCTAATTCGGTAATAGCAACTTGCGTATACACATATAACACCATTCTAACTAGTCAAACGAATTTTCTGCACACTGATGATTGTATGGTCATAACTACACCAACAGTTGACGACGCTATCATGGACATAAGTTTGGAGTCATATTCCCATTAGTAGTAACTTAAATTCATTCAGCACATTCACACGCAACAGTCATCCTCTTTTTTCAATCACCATCTCAATCCGAACGTTCATCGATCATATATCTGGGCAACTCGCTGTTTAGTTGATGAGCTTTACTATCATGTTCATAAATTTTAGACGCTGGATTTCTGGCTGATCGGTGATGAATACGTTAATCTTACATATCAATTTACATATATTTCTAAATGCTACATCATTCATTGCCCCCAAACGTTACACAATTACCGCAATAAATTTACATTCCCACCCCAAAGAAAATCAAAACATAGAGTTTAAAGCTAGTCTCTTAAGGATTCACTCATGTTCGTTATATCCAAGTGAGTTTTATTTGACTGTTATCTACAATCATAAGTATAATTATTATTGTCATTATACCTTAGGATAGTTTCACAACAAACCATGTCGAGCGCATCTCTCTTTAATGACAATCTGGAGTCAGATTCAATTTAGTGATCCATTTAACTGCAACAATTACACTTAAACTAACACTGTGTCAAGCGACAGTGATTATAAGAAGCCAAATACGAATTAATTTAGGTAGATTTATATTAGACATTTGTTTGCTCAGAAGGGTATCAAGATGAAAAGCAGGAAAACGTAGCGAAGCGGAGACGAAAAGCGTGCCAAATCTTTTTTTTTACAGCGTATCTCACTACTTATAACCAGACAAAAATAAGCTAAAAACGTGATGAATAGAGTAAGCAGTACATACACACGCTCAAATAAAAACGGTCAGGGTTATGAGCGAATAGTTGGCAAGGTCGAAACATATGTGGATAATGACTCGAAAGGGATAAATCAATTGGTCTGTTCGAGAGCTGACATGAACCATGTAAGCGTGACACAGTACTAAACACAAGACATGTTCACAGAATAATGATGTGTAAAAATGATGCCAAGACTTACGCAAAATACTCATCTGTGCCAAGTAGATTCATACGATTGCTCCTGCAAAAAAAGGCAATGTAAGTAGTAACAGTTTGAAAAGTTGGACGCTACACTGTAATTTTTAAATAAATAGAAGAAAATATCTCTATTATGTTGTTTTAGCTGTTTTTTTTATACTGTTGTCTTTAAACAAAATACATACAGCTACATACAAATTACCAATGATAAACACCATATGTATGAGTAGGTAACTCCTTATGTTTTTTTCCATTTATGCCCACCCTATCCAACATAGTACTTTTTGTACAAATGATTACCCAATAATGTATGATAAAAAAAAACGGGATTTGCACAGCTTCTCAAACTATTTGTATATGAAAAAACAACAAACGCGATTAACTTAGGATGATGAATTGTGTTTTTTCATAGCTTTACTCTTGACATGAAATACAATAATTCATTTATATCATTAAATGTTTTAATTTATTCCAATACACAAACATTCAACATGACGGTGCTGTGAAAGGTGAGATACCATCAATCTATTGGAGTAACCCCGCATAACAGTCATACTAAAAGTTGACCATAAAGGATAAAAATAAAGCCTAGTGTGTTTTACAACCGTAGTTACAAATGATATTACACAACTTGTTTTCCAACCGTAGCTGCTGCCTTGTCGTGGTGGTCAGGCTTGCTTATCGTGATGACTCGACCGAGCTGTAACATATGTTCCTATAGGTTTTACCATGCCGGACAGGTCGGTTGGAGACCAATGAGACTACTATCTCTACCACTATGGGATTTGAACTGACGATTGCGTCTTTGTGCTAATGTGGTAAGGCAACATGAACTGATGTACTTACGTACGAAGTTCTAGGTTGTAACTGACTGACTGACCGGCTGGATACAACTTGTCTACTTAGTGATATCTAATATTCAGTTTATGGATAAGAAAGGACAAACATCTCAGGTTAATTTAGAAATGGTTTACTGCATAAACACTTACTGTTCAACCATACGTGTAATATGATGTAGAAAAAGACAAAGTATAAAACTCAACATACTCTACCGTATGGTAGGTATATCAAGGTCATAACCTCCAATATTATTACAATTATAGAATGTTGGAGCATGCAGAGTTTGACAAACATTAGTCAATACATAACAACAAGTATCAAACCGAGACCATACTTTTCTGTGGTCACTGCTTCAAGGAAGTGTATATGTAAGCGAGAGAGACAGAGGTGGGAGGGGGGGGGGAAATAATGAACAAATGAAAGAATTATGAAAATGACAGTATCATATAAATGAAGTTGAACATGTCAACAAAAGTTATCACCTCTTTATCTCTATGTGATTGACATAAATATATCTACTAGTATAAATACAATACTAAATTAAGAATTAAAGCATTCTTAATTGAAACATCTCAAGTGATAAAACATGGTCGATGGAAAATCTTGGTTGATGAAAAGTGTTAAATATATTACCTAGTAATATATATATATATATATATATATATATATATATATATACGCACTGAGCCTTGATACTAATGAAAAAATATGAAAAAATCTTTTTAATGAACAAAAGTACAAGTAATAATTTGAGTAAAATACATTTCAGAAGTATATCCTTCTAGAAAACAAACTATTCATAAGTTATTTTGATGTAAACGTATACACTAATTATTCACTTTAGCTAATGTACTGAAAACCATGAAATTAGTTGGCGATATTAAGCAGTAATTTGAATCTGCTATCATTTTAAACGTTGAATATGAAGATGTTCAAATATCGATCGTATGTGACAACGGTTACGAGATGATAGCAACCGATGGTTAGAGACCTTGAACGAGATGGCTTAAAATAGTTTGCAATGGAGCAGGTGCATCCACTCTTTGCATTCTTTTGAATTCTAATCTTTTGAATTCCTCATCACCTTTATCTCTTTAAGTTAATTTCGCTGAGATATACTTCTTGAATAATATCTTGGAACCTTCATCTTCTCTATTACTGCTAATACTTTTATTATCTCTACCACTATGGGATTTGAACTGACAATCGCATCTCTGTACTAATGTGGTATGGCAACATGAACTTGTGTGTGTACGGATGAAGTTCTACGTTGTAACTGATTGACTAAAAACGAAAACGTTTGAGTAAATATAAATTACACTACTTGCAGATACTTGAAAGTAGTTTAGGATATGAAATAAAATAACCAAATACGAATTGAAAATAAGACCAATATAATTCAATAATACACAGGTGGAGAACAAAATAATTCATACAATAAGAATTTTCATTCTACCGAAAACTATATGCATCTACCTTTAACTGAATATATAAATATATATATATATATTAAATGATAATTTCAAAAATAAAATCCTTAAAATGATCTTATCAAGATAAGAGTTTATTAAATGAAAGATGTTTAAAAATCATTATATAATGATAATGGCGAAAATAAGTAAAAATAAATAAAAATTAAGTAAATTTGAGCAGTGAACTAATTAACTGCCATGTTATAAATTAAAATTATGAAAGCGAACTAGATTACACCGAGCTAAACCACAAAGTACCAAAAAAAGTGAAATGCTTAATTGATTGAATGTTAGCTTATTTAAGAAATGAAAATAAAAGGTATGGATATTTCTTATGGAAAATATATATACATTCTGATTTAAGTACTTCTCTGTTGACAGCATTGTAACTAACTAACTAACTAACTCTCTCTCTCTCTCTCTCTCTCTCTCTATATATATATATATATATATATATATATATATATCAGCGTTTCATTGATAAACCTTTTATAATAATACTGGTTAGCAAGTTTATGCATAAGAGAGAAATAAATGTTTGATGCGCTTGTAATTCATTATGACAAGAAACCATGAATATCAACTCGCATTAAAAACAGAGTGAGGTCAATTTTTGTAAACCAAATCAAAGGGATTTATACATATATAAATGTATAACTTGTTATTCAATAAATACGCAAGTAGAAATATTCAGCAAAGCATATAATATCACAATTGGATTATATAGTTGATAATGGAGTGTTAAAAAAATAAGAAAATTGTTAAGCATCTACTTGCAAAGTTCTAAAATTAATCAATATTTATTTGAGACTTTAAAAAAAAAAGTTATAAATAATAACGTTTAGAAATTATTTCATAGAAATTGAATAACTAGTAATTAGTCGAATAAAAAATTCTGCAAATAAAATCAACAAATAAGTAGTAAGTAATGCTTTTATTTTTTGTTAACAAATTTCTAATTTAAATCTATTCACATTAGAATAAAATAAGTCAACATGAATAAAAATATGAGAAGAAAATTTTAAAAAAAATGTATATATTATTTAAAAAAAAGAGTGTTATCCAAAAAAAAAGTAGATAGTAGATAGAAACAAACCTGCGATTACTTCTGAAATAGTAAGTAACAACGATAAATAATGACAATCACAGGCGTTACAATGAAATTAAAATCGTGCAACGATAACATGAAAACAATATGATTTGATTAAATATATACATCATAATGGATGACGGACACTTGATTTTAATTGATTTCACTTGATATGAATGGGAAAAAAAGAAGATGATTGATTTTGAATGTAACTAGTAAAACAATATGGGTGATAAAAACCCGAATTGTTATCAATTCACTCTCTGTGACAAACTGTATCACTGTAACAATTGTATTACAACATTATTACATTAAAAATTCACTTGGATTGTTTGTTCGTTTTTTTTTTCAAAACTTTGCTAACATTCTGTTACGCATGTATGTAAACATGTCAATTTGTTAGGCTTGAATTATTATGAGTTTAACTTAGTCGGAAAACGAGAGCGACACGACAGGCTACTCTAATCCGATTGTCCCAACCCATTGAAGAATACTTGATATGAAGTAGAACCTGTATTGCACAAACATCAAGAAAGTACGAGGCCCGAGTCCAGAAGAGGATGAGGATCCCGGACGAGCGATCCGGGTCCGGGTCCGTAAACGTTACAGATAATGCATATTTATACAGTTAGCATTACGGGGTTGTGAAGATTGTTAAGTTACACATTTTTGAAACCATGAATCGATCAATGTTAGACCACCATTAGAAACCTGGAAGCACTGGACGGCCGTTTCGTCCTGGTATGGGACTCCTCAGCAGTGCGCATCCACGACTCCTGCACCCCGCAGCATTCGAACCCAGGACCTTCGGTATTGTGCGCGAACGCCCTAACCGATAGACCACTGAGCCAGTATCTAACGGTGTTAATGTCTAACTTGATCAAATTCACGGAGTTGCGCAACCTCATACACAGTCTTCGGTAGTTAATGTCTACACCCGAACAGGTTGAACTTCACTGGTCACGTCTTCCCACTAGAACTCGGAGAAGATTCCTCACGAAGCTAGTTAGCTCGAATAGGAAACAACATTGAAGTATATGACATTGACAGTTAGGACGATTAATAAAAAGTAAAATTTGATGTACGTGACATTGACAGTTAGGACGGCCATAATATCAACCAGTAGGGATCGACCAATAGAATTAGACTTACAAAAATAATTCTCTTAGGATATTTGATGAATATCCTGACACATTTGTTGTATTCTAGTGATAATCATTTGTTATTCTCTGATTACTATTAAATTTACAAAATTGTACTATGCTTACTTATAAACTGAATATGTCCATAAAATGAATGCTGAATTCTAACCAAGAAAAAAAATTTTTGTAATTTTCCTGCATTGATATAAAAAACGTACTCGTCGCTTATCTTTCGAAAGATCTTGAGTTTTAAAACTACTTCATACTACCATGAGTTTAATAATAATTTGATATTTATCTTGTCGCTTATTTTCTACTGATTTTGATATTGTTAATAATAATATGCTGATCACCTGTAACAAGCACTATATTGATTATAACTGAGTAGTTTGATGATTCTTTCTTAAAAAAACAACTCTTAATAATATGTGATATATGCATGCATGTAGGCAGTTGAATTTTAATGTGAAAATTCACCATGGATAGATTTTCAGTTTAAACAATTTTTTTTCATGGAATGGTAGCTTTCAATTTGTACAATGCATAATTGAAAGAAAAACTACATAGAACCCATAAAAATACAATTTCCTAACAATGAAATAACTACAACAAAAAATATAGACAGAGAAAATTGCATTTAATTAAAATCATGGTAGTAAAAAGAAAAACTTTTTCGGGACAAAAACATAAATATTGGAAGAATATGTATCGATCGACACGCGTAGAAAAATGTTTCCAAGTTAAATTTAAGTGATAGGATGTTGTTTAAAAGAACAAACCGATTCTACCTTAGAGGAGGGACTTAACTATGCAGAAATGTGAGGTTACACAGGGGGTTGGTTATTGATGTCTCATGATAAAATTAAAGTTTAAGCCTTTCCACTGATTGCCGCCCCCTTTTTTAATAGGATAAAAAAACTAACAGCAATTTAACAATTATTGGCCACAAGGGAAAAACTGTTCACAATAACTCAGCTGTGATAGAAAAGTTGGACAGCATAAAAGTGATTACTAAATAAAGTATATATATATGCCATATAGTTAATAAGCCAAAATAAGATCAGTAAACTATATCTACTTACCTCATTTGATCCACTACATGACTAATGGTGGATTCAGGCCAAATGGTCGATGTATTCAATTCTACATTAGCTCTACGTACCACTTCTGGCAGACCTAAATGTCCTGTAAGATAACAATCTGGTCCAGGTGCATATTCATCACGAATACCTATAGATTTATGCGGTGATAAAGACAATTGATGTACTCCAACATAATCACCTGAAGCATCACTATCAGATTCTTTGTTAAATTTCTTTCGTTTTGTACGGGGACGAATATTATTACCATTATTATTATTATTATTATCACTACTACGATTTGTTGATGATTTCGAATCATTCAATATATGATGATAATTACGTGAAAGTATGTCAAATGGTTTGGATATATTGACAATACCCATTACTTGATCTGAATCATCGTTTAAACCAGCTAAAATAGCCGATCTACCACCACCAGCACCGGTAGGAATATCAGTGCTACCTTGAATTGGTGGTAATTTGTCAACTTTTTTATAATTACAAGTATTCAATGCATTTTCACGATGAATTTGTAAATCGGATCGTGTATGATGATTATTTAGCATATTAGTCTTTAAACCATTCAATTTTATAGAAGTATTTTCACCATTCATTAAATGATCATCTTTGATTGATGATGGTCCAAATGGAAATTGACCAGCTATTAGTTTAATAAAAGAAAAAAAAAATAGAACGATACAACATATATAAACATACATCAGAAAAGAAATTCTCTCAAGTAAAAGCCATTTTATAAGAAAAACAAATAGGTATCTCTAAATAAAAACTCCATTTATATATTCCTGATTGTGTTGTTTTTTTTTTGGTTAGAGTATTGTTGAACAATGCTGTTCTAGGAGATATCAACACATAGTGATTGATAACAGAAGATTTGTGATAAATTGAAATTAAAGTAGACAAGACGAAAATACATGAAAATGTCAAATGAATCAACAAAACTTGTATCCATTGTAAATTAAACAGAAGTTTTTTTTGAAACAAATGATTCGTAGAAAATTTATTAAAATTATGAACAGTTTCATACATACCATTGCATAATGGACAATGATAGAGTAGTTGTATGATTACCAACCTCTTTGAACGGAACGATAGATTTGCTCATATATCAACAAGTATATCGATCCATTAGTTTGAAAGTGCTTGTTGATAAAATTGTTTACAATCGTTAGGTATTATTAAACAACTCTTGAACAGATAGTAAAATTTATCATATCATAAGGGATAGAATTGAAAATGCGTAGACTTTGTACAGCAAGTAAACTAGTAGTAACATAATTATTATTTTGCAATCCAATTCCTATTTTAGCACAATCAACATTGAATGTGATCATCAGTCAGTGATAGTCTTATTTCTAATTTGAATTGAAAATGTTAGTGAACAGTTCAAGATGTGAAATCTATTAAAACAATCATTAAACACTGGGTTGAAACTGTGCTGATAGGTAAAAACTAACTGGTTTAGGTCAAGATGACTTTTTGTAATCAACGGTTAGAGATTATTGGATGACATAGTTCAGCGCATCCATCACAATAATAATCATTTTAAAAAAATCCAATTACTCTCTATCTTAAGTCTTAAAATTAAGGTGGATTTTTTTAAATTCCGCCAATTCATTATTTCATCACTAATCTATCTCTAGAACCCATATTGTTATTAGTTCTACTACTCTTACGAGGTGCAAGAGTCGTCGCGCAGTGTTTATAACCCTAATAACTCTAATTACTAAGAAATTCAATACGATAATTTGAATATCATTATCATCTTACACCTTCATGGTTTGGAGAAATAAACAGTGAGTTCCATAGAAACCAAAAGTTAAATTTATGATTTCACAAAGGTGGATAGTGGCTAGCAGTGCAATCCAGGAAGCGCGTTTCGTCTTATTTGGGACTCGTTAGCTAGATATACCCACATTTCAGAATCAAATATATCAGATAGTGGAAAAAGACATTTCAGGATATGAGTGGTGGGTAGTCCCTATTTAAAAAGCCTTGTATATAAGTATTCACAAGTTACATAGTAGTAAAATGGGAACTTCGCCCTAGTTTTGTATATTTTATGGTGGGAGTATTTTTTACTGTTATCAAGCAAATGATATTGAATAAAAGTAATCATCAATCAATCAGTCATTTTTAGACAACCATTAGAAACCTAGAAGCACTAGACGGCCGTTTCGTCCTGATTTAGGACTCATCAGCAGTGCGCATCCACGACTCCTGTACCTCGCAGGATGCGAACCCAGGACTTTCAGTCTTGCACGTAAACATCTAACCTCTGGACTACTGGGTCGGCATCTGACGGTGTTCGTGTCTAACTCTGAACAATCCAGAGATTTTGTGTGATCTCACCCATCTGTCTTCGGTAGTTACTGCTTAAACCCGACAAGGTTGAACTCCACTGGTCATGTCTTCTCACTAGAACTCCGAGTTTCCTCGCGAAGCTAGTCACTAGTGAGCAAATAGTACGATTTTTTCAAATGCTGCGAGGTGCAGGAGTCGTGGATGCGCATTGCTAATGAGTCCCACATCAGGACAAAACGGCCGTCGAGTGCTTCTAGATTTCTAATGATGGTCTAACAATGACTGATTGATGATTTCAATGCATAAAAACACTAATCTGCATAACTCTAATTGAAAAGAAACGAATCACAGTAAATGTGATTATGTGATTACACTGGAAATCATATTGTTGATGTTTTGCAATAAAATCGAGTCAAGAATATTGAATAAGTCACAGTAACCTAAATCCATCAGATGTTATCACATAAATCTACTTCAAAAATGTAACATAGAAAAATATTTTTTTCAACGATACATGAATTCTTTATTATTTACTTACCTAGTAGTCGAGCTTTTAAAGAAGCTTGAGATTTAGTGTTTCGTGATTCAATTGAATCCATCTTACATTCATCAAGTCCATTTTCCAATGGCATATGTAAATGACAATAAAATGAAGCTAAATAAGGAAAATAAAAATTTTAAAAAAAAATTACAGAAGAGACAAGAAAGAGGGATGAAAATGACAATGTACGATCCGTCTTCCGACATTTTTAAGAAATTTAAAGTACAACACAGATTATCATTATTGTTATCATTTATTTAAAAAAAAATACATCCACGTCATATTTGAAATGTATTTTTACAGTATGACCTGATTTTACTTAAAACTACCATTGAAAACCAATAAACTATGCTGAGCGATTAAAGTGTAAAATATTGCATAATTTGCAAAACGTGTATTCTCATAATCTCGCCAGAAATCATAGATCACGCATTGAATGCTTTATGATTATCATTTAAAACAATGAGTCGATACATTTAATTATTGACACTAATTACAACTTTAGTCATTTATCAATAAAACATAACTGAAGTTGACCGAAAATAGATGAACAGAAAAATTCATACAATAGATAAATTGATGGTGATAGATTAAACGATTGTTCAGTGAAATTTTATTTGAATTATATTATTGTTGAAAATGATGAGGAGTCCCATACCAGAACGAAACGGCCGTCCAGTGCTTCCAAGTTTCTAATGGTGGTCTAACATTGATCGATTCATGGTTTTAAAAATGTGTAGCTTAACAATCTTCACAACCCTGTAATGCAAAAATTATTTAACAGTCCTCATACAAAATAAAAAATGTAATACTAGTAAAAACTAACCCCTACAGTTTAGGTACTGGTACTGAAAAGGTTGAGAAAGCTTAAAAGAACAACAACAAAATTACTGACATTGAAACACGGAGTTTTTTTTAATTAACTTAAACTACAAACGGAATATCTAAAGGTAAAATAATTCCAAGAATTATACGTTAAAAAATGACTAGGAGATAAATATTAAAATAATTTGGTATTGAAGATGAAGGGTTCAATTATGAATGAGGTGATTTAAAGTGCTGTTGGAAGTATGAAAGCACTTATCGCCTCTCAGTTGCTCATGTAGAGGAAGGATATTTCTTCATGGGTGGCTTGAAAAGGCAAACGGAGTAGCGGAGCTCTTAGCGACTTGGGAGAATGATCACAGAGCTCAAGTGACAACTACTCTCAACTAGACACATACTATTCTTTTGTGGTACGTTTTTTCTGTGTTAGCGCTGCACTTGACTGAGCTTTACCACCGGAGGCAGAAGTCAGTGGGATAGGTAGGACAAGGCGTGACATTCTTGAGCCTAACCTCATCTAACATATCTTTCACTGTAGGAAGGTAGTATCACTAGAAATGCCGGTTTCTAGAGGTAAGAACTTCAAAAGCAAAACATTATCCTAGGACTGCGAGTTTGCTTTTTTAAGTCTAATCGCTCTCTAATCAGCCATTCTAGGATAACAGAGAAATGGACATTCCAGACGATTTAACTTGAGTGGGTTAGTGTGGTATGAAAGCATTAGCAGCTACAATAGGGATCTAGTAGGAAGCTGAGAGACTAATCAAACTTAGTATTCGCCTAATTTGTTTTATTTAACAAAAATGATTACTACATAATAATGAAGAGAAATAAAAGTTTAACGATTTTTTCAATATGCAAGAAGCCAATGTAATAAATTAACCAATCCCACTGTAGTTTTCATTATCATACGAAAGTTTACCACCAATTAAATAATATGGATTACTTAATAAGCAAGTAAATAGTTTTTGTATTGTTACAGCGATAAACGATCAAAACCAATAAATTGAAATAAAAATATATACTTTATGATAGTTTGAGATATGCAAGTCTGGGCATACACATCTCAGTGATATATAATCCTGAAGTAGTTCATTTTGTAATATCAGTGTTCTATCATTTATTGGTATTTACAACCTCTTACAGGAATTTCTTAACTGTAAGTACTTCAATTCAAAAAATTTTTATGATGAAATTATCGATACAATCGATAAACTGCTTTAGCTAATGAACTGTTTTAAGGAACAAGATCACAAAAAAATTATGAAATAATATCTCAATTTTTTTGATAACAAATCATATTTTCCAAAAAAGATTTTAAAAATAGTAAACGAAATTTGTAGCTCAGGTGGATGACTGCGGTGGAGTTACGTTCTCTGAGCTGGATAGAGGTTAACAGAACAAGCTACAGGTCATGTGTGTTGTTGCTGTTGTTCATAAGAACAATGAAAGCTTCAAAACCAAAACATTCAGCTCAGTGAACCAAACTCCATCACTTTAAAAATACTAATCAAATAATTAAATTTTACTGAGATTACAAATCGACCACAGTTAGACAATCATTCAAAACATAGAAACGTTGAACAGTTGTTTCGTCCTTGTATAGAACTTGTCTTTAAACTATTTTATATCAATAAATTGTAAATTGGAATGGAAGCATATCATGCCACAAGAAATTGAAAATCAGTATAATTGATTTTAAATATTAGTGTAAATCAACCGAACTATTAGGTTTGGATCAAGATGCCTATTTGTAATCATTGGTTAGAGATTATTGGATAACATAGCTCAGAGCATTGGTCACAATAATAATCATACAAAAATCCAATTACTCTTTATCTTAAAATCTATTAATCTAACAATTAGAAATAATGTTGATTAGTGAAGTGTGTAGTTACAAAGTGAAAAGTATGAAAAAGGAGAAACAACCAATGAATGTTTCATTACTCACATATCTAAACAAAAATTATTAACTATAAGTTTAAATAAAAATTTCAATAAGAAAGCATCATTCGAAGAAAAAGAGAATACAAAATTAACAATTTACGATGTCAGTAAAAAATTAGTTATTTAAAAGTCCCTTTAAAAAATCAGTAGGTTGAAAAAATAGTCAATGACATGTTATTTTTGAAATCATGAATCGATCAATCTTAGACTACCGTTAGAAACCTGGAAGCACCGGACGGTCGTTTCGTCCTGATATGGGACTCATAAGCAGTGCGCATCCACGACTGGACCACAGTGTTATGTCTAACTTCTATCGATTCACCGTCTTGCGCAACCTCATACACTGTGTTCGGTAGTTACTGTCTACAACCAAACAGGTTGAACTTCACTGGTCACGACTTCTCACTAGAACTCGGAGAAGATTCCTCACGGAGCTAGTCACTAGTGAGCACAGGTTGTGAAGACTGTTAAGTTACACATTTGAAATCATGAATCGATCAATGTTAGACTACCATTAGAAACCTGGAAGCACCGGACGGCCGTTTCATCCTGGTATGGGACTCATCAGCAGTATCAGTATCACTGTGTTCCAACAAGATCTCTATGACTGCACCTTAAAAGATTACAAGGTTTAGATCTCAGAAAGTATATACTAAATGATTTTCATAATAACAACTAAGGTAAATGGACAAATCAATGTTTGGAACAAACAGCCACCAACATGGTTTAAAAATCATTGTTACATATCATTATGAAAAAGCAAACAAACAAACAAAACAGAGAATGTATATGTGTGTTTACCGATTTACCTTTTTCATTAGTTCTCGTCGAGTTGACACATTTCACTGAATCTTTATTTAGAAGATTATTACAAGTAGAACATCGTAAACAATCTTTATGCAAATAATAACCAGAGACTCGTACACGGTCTAACTGATATAAACGTTTTTGACATATATAACAATAGGAACTACCCTTGCGTGGACCAAATAAACGAGCCACATTTTCTGGAATTCGTATTTGCTACAGAAAGAAAACAATCGAGAATGTAAAGTCGATCATTACAAAATACAGTGGATTGTTATCTATTCGAAATGAATGAGACACTAAATATATATATATATATATATATATATATTTATGAAGCACAACAATAATCTGTTATGGCTTCAGATTGCTGATCGATATTACATGCTTCATACTGGCCGAATCGAAATTCCTGCTATTGACTCGTTAATTAGATCGCTAGCTAGTAGGACAGATGACTTACAACAAACTCATTGGTACACTGACCAATGAACAACATTGATATCTGCCCCTTGAGCTCCTTCTACTAACTCAGTGGACAATCAATCAGAAGATGCTAATAGAAAGCAAATTAGTTCTCTATTATACTCAATTTAATTATGTGACTCAAAGCTCATTTAATATGAATATGGAGTAAAATTTTGACCACGCATCAACATAATTACAAAATTACAGATTACCAGTACAACTATGGCATTAGTGAAAGAAAATCTCAGGAATAAATTCGTAATAAATTAGTGGCAACTTCAAAAGAAAGCTACAACACACTATGGAAAAGCTTACAAGCAGTAAATTATCAAAAATATAAAATAATAACTTTCAAGTGGGACAGTTTTGAAAGTTAAACTTTTAACAATACTTATCCAATTATAACATTATTTTCAAAAGATTTTTTCATAAAAAAGTTTCTATTTTCTTCTAACCAATTGTAATATCTGTCGAAAACCAATAGATATATTATTTTTTTAAATCTTAATTTTTATTTATGATCAAAAAATTTTTAAATTTGGTGACTTATTTAAGATTGAAGCATTAACAGCTTATATAATGATATTAAGTAACCATTTCAAGCAACCATACTGGCAATAAAAGAAAAATCTATTGATCGCTAAGGTAGGATTATTGATTAGAAGCAGCATTCTGTAGATAATAAATGAATAACTATGCAGAAAAAAAAGAAGACCAAATTCTTGAATAAAAACGCTACTAGTAGTCCTACTTTAAAACAACTTGGTAAGAAAGTAAGAGATTGTATACTCGGAATTCCCAATTACATTTAATTTACAGGAAGTTAAATAAAACTGCTTAGTTGTCTAAACTGAACTATAAGTAGCAAGGTGAAAATAAATCATTTCCTGCAGTTATTAAGCTACCAATCAGACTAGATCAACTCTTATACATACTTTGTGTTTATAACTGTATATTGGATACTGACAGATAAATATATGCTCTTGAATAAATAAACTGTTAGGGACGTTAGATCTCCAGAACTCACTTGGAAAAGTCCTACTTTTGTAATTTGAATTTTTATGTTTTCGCGCCGGACACACTTAGTTGACCTTCAGTTTACATTTCCCACTCGGAAAATCCCTGACTGTCATTGGTTGATGGATTGTTTTAGTAAGTTATTTTGTGGTTCTCCCAAGGGCGTTTCTATCATTGTATAAATAAGCTTGATTTTTATGCTCAGATACCTCGTATTTTCTGGGTGCTTGTAGAATACATTCTCTACGTCTTATTAAGACTTCTTGATCTAGTTAGCAGGGCAGGGGGCAAACGGATTAGAATAGCCTATCGTGTCACTGTATTGTTGACCTTCGTTCCGTTTACCGAGTAAGGTGAACTCGTAACAGCATTGAAGCATATCATAAACGTATACAGTCAAATTCATGCATAAAAACTGGGTAAATGATTTAGTTACAAAACCAAGAATTTTTGAAGAAATAAGCTATTTGATGTGTAACTTGTAGGAAACTTAGATGGAATTCAATAGATCATGCTTTTTCTTACTAAACAGAATAGAAAGCGTCACAGATGAAAGCTCATCCAACACATTGTAAATTATCACAATAGGGATAGTAAAGAGAGTTAAATTTTATTCAGTTCACAAATCGATTCAAGTTAGTAGACAATTAAAAACCTCAAACCACTGGGCAGAAGTTTTTTTCCCAGTATGAGACTACTCGCAAGGTTATGTATCGACCATAGAAACGACCACATTCATTAGATCATTAGGCTGTGATTCAACAATCTGTCTACAAGTTTAACTCTAATCAATCCATAATGTTGTGCAAACATTTTTCATTATCTTCAAACGGTACTTTCCTCACACAACCAAAACAGTTGATATCTACTGGTTACCGCTTTACATTTAGAACGTTGGAAATTACCTCTTGAAGCTAATTACTTGTGATCAATCACATGATGATTATGAATATGGGATTTCTTATCGTATTCACTGACAATGATCAAGGTTGTTCATTGGATTAATCCATAAAGATCACTGTGAAATCTCATATCATTTCAAGGTTAAACATTAGCTCAATAAAATTTAACGAATTTGTAAGTATTTTTTTCTTACTGTTAACAACTTAGTAGCACATAAATGATGAATGATTTATTTGTTTACATGAATTCATAACTAACTAACTAACTAACTACACAGAATACAGAACAGGTGATTCAAACAACCACTTGATTGGTTCATGTACATAACAAAAATATCAAAAAAAAATAATAATAGACACATTGAATGGCATAGTAGAATGAATGTTAACTTTATGCTTTATTTATTTTTTTCAAGTGATTTACAACTGAACAACAAACGATTTGATTTTAATGATTTTTATCCATATAACAACGTAACGCAGATCTACAATCAAGTCGACTAATCAATCAATAATGCTTTTATTATTATTAATATGTAGATACAGTGTAATGCGACTTAAGTGAATAAGTGCTTGTAAAATAGACATTAAAAATAGGTATAAATAGATGGTTTTCGATATTATATTATTAATTATAGAACCTTACAGACAGACAGACACAACGCAGAACTTCGTACATAAGTACATCAGTTCACGTTGCCATACCACGTCAGCACAGAGATGCAACTGTCATTTCAAATCCAAGAGTGATAGTGATAGTAGAATTATTAGCAGTAATGGAGAAGATTAGGGAGCGAAGATATGATTCGAAAAGTATAATTCAGTAAGATAAATTTAGAAGGAGAAAGATAGAGATTATGAGGAATTCAGAAGGTTAGAATTAGAGAGAATACATAGAGTGAATGCAGCTGCGCCATTGTAAACGATTCTGAGCCATGTTGTTCAAGGTCTCTAACCATTGATGACTTTCGTCTCGCGGACCCCAACCAGGTAGTCTACATCTACCAACATGACTCAGTCCACTTGTCAGAGACTTCATGGATTTCTGCCATGTTTTGGTCTGGCCGCCCCTAACTTTCTTCCAACCTACTCGTACACAACAAAACATAGCTCGTCGAGGCAGTCGGTGGTTAGCCATACGTAACACATGTCCCAACCACCTCAACTGATGAAGTTTCAATGCTTCATCTATTCATTTGCCATCCTTACCTAGAACTCGTTTCCTAAAGATAGCATTGCTTACTCGGTCGTCCCAGGACATACAAGCAATGCTTGGGAGACATCGATGATCGAAAACTAGTAATCTACAAAAGTCCTCTACTCTTACCGGCCATGTTTCGCATCCGTATAGTAGGACAGAGCGAACTGCTGCGCAGTACACTCGTCCTTTATTCAGCAAACGGATATCTCGCCTACGCCATAAGTGACGCAGGTTGGCAAAAGCCAATCGAGCCTTCTATATCCGTGCTGCGATTTCGTCAGTCACCAGGCCCTCAGAACTGATGAGACTCCCGAGATAAATGAAGCGGTCGACTACTTCAGTCCCTATCACTAGTTCAGGTGCCGATGCAACCCAACCTTACAATGATTTACACGCTGAATGAGAGACGAGAAAAGTGTAAATTTATATCATGCAGACTGGGTTTAAATTATATATATATATATATATATATATATATACGAAAAGAATATCTTAAACCAGAACTCACTGAAGAAGGTGAACGTTTTACCAGATTTTCAATGCGTACAGGTCGACGTTGTTGCGGTTGTGGATGGGATTGTTGATGATCATGGTGTTTTTGTTTCAACAATTGATCAGTGAAATTCTTATTTAATAATTCCGTTTTATTGTTGGTTTCGTCAACTGCATACTTTTTATTTAATAATGTTGGCGAATATTTATTGACTGAAGGAGTTGGACGAGCACACTGAAATGTAAATTTTTATTTTTGATATTTAATTTAGTCGACGAAAGAAAAACAAACAAACAAATAAAGGATGTGCAAAAAGTTTAAATGAGAAAATTTAAAATGAATAATGATTTCACATTGCCTAATCAAAAAAAAAGTAACAATAACAGTAGATATGGTTTTCATTAACAAATTCTAATGAGCGACAATAAAATGAAAGAAATTGTTTTAGAAAAAACACTATACATTTTCCTTATAGTTTGAATTTTTAATCTAGTTAATTTGAAAGAGAAGAAAAATATGTATATATATGCCAGACACAATCAGCAACAACCTACTCTGTGAGAGAATTAAACAGATAGCAGCTTAGGGAGAAATTAAGAAAAAGCATTGCATGTGAATAGGATACACATTGTGGAAATCTCCTGGCTGCATCACGAGGCAAGCCTTAACTTACAACCCCTCAAGGTTAAAGGAAAAGAGGTAGACCAAACAACATACCATGACTAGGTTTAGAGACAAACATGAAGTGAATGAATTGCAATTGCGTTGGACTGTCGGCGGCCTATGCTTCATTGCGGATAATAGGCGTAAATAATTTAAAATTGAGGCTTTACTGTTCAATGTAATAAAATGAGACAGTATTTAGAATGAACGGATTGTGGAGAGTAGTGAAATGAATAATGGGTTTTTTGTCCTGTCTCAGATACATCAGTTAGATGTACTTACATTTTATAGTTGATACTTATACTAGAACTCAGACATATTACCTTTAGACCTAACTCATTGCTAAGTTCGCATAGCTTGCACTAATGAAATATATACATTTTAGATTTTACTAGTAGCCAAAATTTATTTATTCTAAATACTGTGTGATAAAATGGTTGTATCAAAGTAATTCACACAGGATGTAGATATGCAAAACGGACGACTAGTTAAAATTCATTGGTAAATATAAACACAACCGGATAACTTAAACACACATAAAAGTTTAACTTACATTTTTAGAATTATTTATTTACAAATATTTATTCATTTGTATGAAGTCTGATAATATTACACTAATGTTGTATGGAAAAAAAAACAACCAAAACATGGAACAAATAAACTTCTACTTCAAGTTTGTGCTGATGATATTGTTCATCAGAAGAATAGCAAAAGCTTCACAACCAAAATGTCCAGTGCAGAGAACAAAAATCCACCATTAAAAAGAAAAAAAAGAACTTGCTACATTTTAGTTAATTAATGATGTTATTTTTCTATCAGAAGTGGAGAGGATCAAATAAATCTGTTAATGTCAACGTAAATGTATTTTTTTCAAAAACAAAAAAAAAAGAGTAACAATCATACAAGAAATGTCACACATGTGACTTTCTACATTCTTTTCTTCACAATCGATTCACATAAAGTTGCAGTTCTGAAAAGATTACAATAATATTTACTTTAAAATGATTATATCTCTGTACAAATTCATCAAACGGACAACAAAATTGCATTATTAGATGAACCCGTAATAAAAAAATCTATTGGGGCACAATTTTGGAGGTTTGCGTTTTTACACATTTGAAATCATTAATCAATCATCATTGTTAGACCACCATTAGAAACCTGGAAACACTGGACGGCCGTTTCGTCCTAGTATGGGACTCCTCAGCAGTGCGCATCCACGACTCCTGCTTAAAATGAAAAGAGTTTGTGAAATGAATGAGAACCAACGTTGTCATAGGTTATGATATTCTTGTAGTGAGGATTGTTTGAGTCTATGATGTTTTTGTATTCTAACTTTTACACGACTACACCATTTTTAACTCTGGTCTTAATATACTTTACTTTTATTCAAAAGGAAACAAAAAAAATATCCATAAAAGAACATTAATGAACTGACTATTTTATTCATATACATACAAGGATTAAAATGAATCTGAAAAAGTGATAGACGACAAACTATACTTTATTCTCAAGTGTCTGTATTTACCTAGTTACGGAATGAATGAATGAATGAATGAATGAGAAATGCACTTTTAGTTGAGAAAATGATCTATTGAACTTGAAATTACGATTTTAAAAATAAACTATCTTCTAAAAAAATATTGGAAAAGAGTTTAACAGGATAACGTTTATCATCAAGTATCAGGATTGTGGAGATTGTTGAATTTCAATGAAATTATGAACTCAATCAGTCAGTCAGTTACAACGGAGAACTTCGTACGTAAGTACATCATTTCAGGTTGCTATACCGCATTAGCACAGAGATGCAATTATCACATCAAATCCCATAGTAGTAGAGAAGTATTAGCAGTAATCGAAGATATTTTTCAAGGAGTATAGTCCAGTGAAATAAACTTCTAAAGAAGAAGATGGTGATGAGGAACTCCGAAGGTTAGGATTTGAGAGAACACAAAGAATGAATACATCGGCGCCATTGCAAATAGTTTTGAGCCATGTCAATCAGGGTCTCAAACCATCGATTACTATTGTGGTGCTGTGGTGCGAACTACTTATAAGTAGTATATAGCGTGAGTGTCAACGTAAAGTCTGGTAGCATAATATGGGGGGAAGATCAAGAAAGGAAGAGTCAGAAAACAATGGAATTTGTATGAAACGCATGAATAGTGACTATGGATTGATGTTTGGCAACAGGAACAGTCCAGTTCCATAGGATGAACTGATCTTTTGCAAATGAACGATTTACGATATGGTTTTCCGATTTTACTGAGTAACTCTGTAATTTTCGATAAATACAATTCGGTTGCCCCACCTGTGTTCTCATTCACTACATTTGGTGTCGCTGCCTGCTTGAAGGAAGGGGCTCCCGTGGCCGAAGGAGTTGCAGGACGAAGATTGGCGGAGCTTCCTGGAGGAGTTTGGGGCCACGGTGGAGCTGGTGGGGGCTCGGGCGGAGTTGACGGTGCTGGGGACGCTGCGGGGAGGTGAGGCGAGGGCGGTACACGACAGCCTGGACGGTGCCACCGAGGAGACGGCGTGGGAGACGGTCACCGGGCGGCTGATAATGGAGTCCGACAGCCCAGCGGACAGGGAGGAGGCGCCGCAGAGGTTCCGGTTGGCGCGGCTGTCGGCCGATGGTGACCTGTTGGTGCTTGCTGTGGAGCTCACCGGATTGCGCCGTGAGGAGTGGGCGGGGCACGGTCTTTGGCGTCGCAATTTATCGAGTGTGTGCCTGCCGCCGTGTTCCAGCATCGGGAACTTGTGAACGCTACACGTTGAATAGATGCCGTATCCATTCCAGACCAGTGATCAAGAACGATGACCGAAGTGGTAATCCGGCATATTGTAGCGTGTCACGGAATACGGAAGGTGATATTAACTGACCAGGGGCTCTGTTTTGAAGGACTACGACGACAGCTTATTAAAAGGGGGGACGAGTGTGGTGCTGTGGTGCGAACTACTTATAAGTAGTATATAGCGTGAGTGTCAACGTAAAGTCTGGTAGCATAATATGGGGGGAAGATCAAGAAAGGAAGAGTCAGAAAACAATGGAATTTGTATGAAACGCATGAATAGTGACAATGGATTGATGTTTGGCAACAGGAACAGTCCAGTTCCATAGGATGAACTGATCTTTTGCAAATGAACGATTTACGATATGGTTTTCCGATTTTACTGAGTAACTCTGTAATTTTCGACAAATACAATTCGGTTGCCCCACCTGTGTTCTCATTCACTACACTATCACCTCGCGGACCCCAACCAGGCAGCCTACATCTACTAACATTAATCAGTCCATTTGTCAGAGACTTCACAGATTTGTGCCATGTTTTGGTTTGGCTGCCCCTATCTTCCTTCATATCTATTCCTACACCGAAATATAACTCGATGAGGCAGTCGGTGGTTAGGCATACATAACACATTTCCAACCACCTCAACTGATGGAGTTTCAATACTTCATCTATTGACCTGCCATCCTTACCTAGCACCCGTTTCCTAACGACAGCATTGCTTACTCAGTTGTCCCATGATACACGAGCAATGCTTTGGAGATAACTATGATCAAAAAACAGTAACCTATGAATATCTTCTACTCTGAATACCCATGTTTCTCAGCCATAAATTAGGATGGAGCGAACTGCTGAGAAGTACACTCGTTCTTTGATTAGTAAACGGATATCTCACCTTGGGCTATAAATGACGCACGTTGGCAAAAGCCAATCTAGCCTTCTGTATCCGTGCTTAGATTTCGTCAGTCACCAGGCCATCAGCACTGATGAGACTCCCCAGATAAGTGAAGCGGTCAACATCCCCAACTACTTCACTCCCAATCACTCGTTCAGGTGCCGGAAATCATGAACTGATCTATGTTAGACCAACGTAATAGAAAGAAATGACTTTCCAGCATTTCCAAATTTTCAATGGTAGTCTAACTTCTATTGGTTCATTATTTCAAATGAAATATTATTTATTATAAGTACGGTAAGAGATAAAAGCAGTAAGACATTATGTTATTTGTTTAATACATCGTATTATATAGATTAATATTTGAAAATAATCAAGATCAGACTCAAAATGAGCTTTAAAAACTACATAATAGAAGTGTCAGAGAAGCGAGCAAGGTGTTCGAAATAGATAGTGCTGTTTTCTATAATTGTGCTTATTTAAGTAGTGAGAAGAAACAGGCAGATAAAATAATCCAAAACGTAAGATGAAGTATGGTGCACAGTATACTGAAAGGAAAGGTAACAGGGTTAGTTTATTAACGAAACAATAAAAACCCAGATGAATGAATGCTGCAGGCAGTAGTTATATATATATATATATATATATATATATATATGGCAATCCGATTTCACTGAACGTGTTGTGAGAATTTGTGAGTCTTTATAAATTAATGTTGCTTATTAATAATTATATTACGGGTTTCGGCCGTTCTTCATAACATAACACAGTTTATTTTACTGTCGTACAATAATAGCCTTTTACTACTTTTGCTGATCATTAAATCGATAATTCAAAAGGATCATTGGTCAATTTAGGCGTTTGGAGATGGTTAGCAGGAGACTTTG